ACGGATGGGCCTGAGGAACTCACCGGGCCGCCAGGCTCATGAGGCAGCTGTGCCCGGGACAGCGGCAGTCACCGGAGTCGCCGTAGCTCATGCCCAGGCTGCGTCCCAGCAGCTGGGCCAGCAGGACGGAGAAGGACTCCAGTGTGGTGGCCCCTTGGTACTGGAGGGAGGAGAGAGCAGAGCTGCCACAGCTGTGCCATCCCTGCAGAAACCCAGCGCCGGCCATGGACGCGCCCACCCATCCTTGTCCCTGCCACTTGTGACCCTCAGAGACGCAGGGGCTGGCAGGGGACGGGCAGGGGACACCACACGGCACCGTACCACGGCCACTGCACCAGCAGCATCCCTCTGACAGGCCCTTCCTGGAGCCGTTGCACCCACCGCTGCTGCTCGGTCCCTGTACCTGAGACACAAGGGGTGCTCAGCGGCGTCCAGCCCGGGACGCCCCGCTGGGGAATCCCAGCTCCCGACAGCCCAAGCCCCCTCAGCCCCTCCCGCTGTCCCCCAGTGCCTCCCAGCAGCCCAGGGGATCTTCCTCATTCAGCCTACCTTGGTTTAGCCGATTTCTACCGTGTGACCTTTAAGGAGCAAGGAAACCTTTATCTTACACTAACAGGTAAGCCGCATCATACGAGTGCGGCGCGAGATGCGGCTGTTTCCACTGCAAAAACCGCTGGAGAAGGTCGTCTGCTTCCCCTGCTGTCAGTATTTTATTCTCCTCTGTCCACAGCTCCAGGGAGGACAGCACGATGGTAACGTTAAGAGGGCTGAACATCTGAAAGCACAACAGAGGAAGCGCCTGCCCACAGACCCTGCTGCTGAGCAGAGCTACGGCGCTGGCACAGTGAATCAGGCAGGAGAAGCCAATTGCTACCATCAGTCACTGAATGACTGATAAAGAAGAAGGCCTAATAACTCCATAGGAAGGTTTTAGGGGGGTTGTGAATAACTTAAGTTGCTTCTAAGCACCTGAGCTCCAGACTCACCCAGGCAGTGAACCCCAGCCTGAGCAGTACCACTGTCACAGCTTTACCGTGGCCTTTTCTCTTAGCCCACTAGGACTAAACCCCTCAGCCAGCTCTGATCAAGCCTGGCCCAGGCTGCCAAGAAGCTCGGAGCTCCTGCCAGGCCCTGCCCAGCCACTGCAGCCAGAGGCCAACACCTGGAATGTTTTATGTAACCTCCTCCTAAAACCAAAAGCAGCCAGGAGATGGGTGGCCACTACTAACATCCCCCCCACGCTGTCTTACTACAAAACAAACTGGCCTTTAAAACTTACATTGTTGACTAAACCGAAGACCTGGACGATCTTCTGCATGGCAGCATTTGTGTCTGAACCCATATAGTTGTACTGAAAAATAACCCAAGAGGGCACAGCTGTACACAAGGTGTTTACCATGATGAAGCAGAACAACGTGGAATGCTGAAATAATTGCCAGCATCCAACCATGTAAATGTGAGCCACGAATTTCCATTCTTTCCTACAAAACCCACAGTACATGTAACTTTTCAAAAGGGAAAACAAATACATACAAAAGCCAGGAAATAGCACTATGCTCACAGAAGCTGGGCAAACACAAGGAGAAGGTGACTGGCACAGACTTACCAAAGCCTTGTCCAGAACTACGTGCACTCTGAAGTATTTGGGAGATTGTGCTGCAGCTGACAGTGGCTGAAAAAGAAAGGTCTCCAATTATATTTATTTCTGCATTCTATAGTCACCATGTTCCTGGGGCTTGTTCTGCTGCTCAAGTGTTCACTCAAAAGCAAAGCTTCAGTCTTGTCTTCAGATCCACACAAGGTAGAAGCCCATCCAACTCGGCCATTTCTACCTTGGTCCTGCTTCTCATCAGGCACAAGATGAGCAACGATCCACCAACACCCCACCACCAACACCCCATCACAAGCAGTGGCACTCCTAAACCACCCTCCCACTCATTTCTGCCCGTCCATATGACACCAGCCAAAGCCTCCCAGGGTATCAGCCCCCCCTCGGGTGGTGTGGACATTAGCACCACCACGAGAACAGGCACCCACTCACTTCATCACCTCCATGTGCTTTGTCCTCCATCTCCTCTGCCCTCAGCCCACCCGGCCCCCTCTGGGGGCGGCTGCTGTCCAGGAGGGAGCCTGTCGTGTTCTCACCGCTCAGTCGATACGCAAAGTGCTCGAAGTCAGGAGAATAACCCAGGGGCTCAATCCCATAGCTGATGTTCTCCAACTGCAGCAAGCCCCTGCCAGGGTGACAGCGTGTCATTTGTCACCGGGTGCTGGCAGCCGTGACGGGGAGGCTGCCCCAGCCCCGCTCGCCTTCGGCCGAGGGCTCCCCCAGAGCAGAGGTCTGGCAGCACCACAGGCACTAAGGGGCTGGGCCGTGCTGGGAGGTGGTGGTTTGTTACCTGAGCCCCGAGCAGGTGCTGAGGGTCACTGCTGAGCTGGGGAAGCCCTCGACGTACCCCCGGTACTGGCAGCCTCCCTGGATCACAACAGGAGACAAGGAGCCTGATCCGTGGTGACCAAGACGATTCCCTCGCCTGTCACCCAAACAGCTGAACTGCAGGTACTGGACAGCAGCTCTACACTGCAACACGGCACAAGGACACCCAAAGCAACCCAAATTACCTTGGTAAGGGTTGAAACAGAGTGCAAAGATCCCCTCTCATCAGACAGGTAAATCCTGAAATCATCAGATAAAAAGACACTACAAAAGAAAAGCATAAAGTGAAGCACTTAAAATAGGATCCCTCAGCCCATTTCTTGAGCTTTTCCCAGGTCCTGCAGCCTGCACGTGTCGCTCTGGCAGCTGCAGAGCTTCTGGCAGCTCCAGAACCCGCTGGCATCAAACATCCCTCAGACCCTTCTCCCACCCCTTGGCACCCAGCTGTGTAGCACACACCCACAAGTCCCCTGCAGGATTTGGGATGTGCCCACACCAAGCACAATCCAGGCAGCTGCAGCGGCTGGGAAGAGCCTAAAGGAGCAGCCCCAGCACCGGGATCAGCCCAGCCCGTGCTGGAGCAGACAGAGCCCATGGCCAAAAACAGGAGCAACGGTCACACAAAGGCAACACCGGGGCCAACTTACTGCTGCTGGAGATGAACAGTGTATGGCTTCCCCTCGATCCTCAGAACATAGGACATTGTGTCCTTGTGCATGCAGAAAAGAAGAAAAAGAGAGAATTAGGAACACCTTTAGCTTTGGAAAACCACACTCCAAGGACAGCCACTTGTGGAGGGCCGGCGCTGGAGCTCCAGCGCTCCCTCGGGGAGCGGGTGCAGCCTTGGCTGCAGCTGTGCTGGCAGCACCAGTGCAGTGACCCGGGACAGCTGCCAGCCCATCTGTACCACCCCCCCCTGCAGCTGGAGAGCAGAGTCCCCTCTGCACCTCCCCAGGCTGACCGTGACTCCCCTGCCCACCAGAGCCCCCAGAAGGGACCTGCCTGCTGAGGTGCCATTGCTCCCATCGTGTTTGGAGGCAGCTGCATGGGGACCATGACCTGGGCCTGCACCAGCGAGCCTGGGGAGGAGGGGGAGACGCCCATGGGGTGCCAAGACCAGTCACAGCATTGTGAGGCAGCCCCACGGGCAGGCGGAACTGGGGGGGAACCAGTCTGGACTCACCCAGCAGCAGCAGCAGCCCTGGGCACAGCTCCATTCCTACCCACTAACGGCCTCAACTCACCCAGTAACGGTCTCACCCTCTCCGGTAACAGCCCCATCCCACCCAGCCAGCAACAGTCCCACCCGCCCCAGAAAGCAGAAGAGGCACTTTGTACAAAACCGGGACCTTTTATTGCTGTTTGCCTCTTACAAAGGGGGTTGGGAACAGCCCTTTCGTCAGCCCCCGACGGTACCGGAGCGACGCGCGGGGACGGCTCTGTGGAGCTTTGGAAACGCCCGTGGGACACAGGCGTGGCCTCTGCTCTCGCCCGCCCTGCCCGGGGACAGGGGTAACGTACACTTCAGGAAGAAAGTCAGTAGTCATCGTCAGTATTCAACACATGTAAAATTTAAGCTATTTCCTCTCCATAGTATTGCTTCTAAAAACCGCGTGTTCGCTGCCCTGCGCCACCGCCCCGCGAGGATCGCCAACGCCCACGCTGCAAGTATAAAAACTCTTATCTATTAAAAGGCACCATTTTCAGCACAGTTTTAGTTCACACATACAGCTTCAAATACAATTTCAGTACGACTCCCCTCTCGGATGACCTCAGGCCCTGGATTCCCTCCTCTTGTCCCCACCCTCCGGCCCGAGCCCGCTCCAGCGTGAGCGACTCCCACCGTCTGCCCTGCTGGGCTCAAAGCTGATTGTTACAGACAGCCTAAACTGAGTAGAACGTAACAAATATTAGGAAGTGATTATCTTGGAACAAAGGTAAGACCCCCACAAATACATCTGGTTGATATTCTATCTGATGTTTTATATATTTTAATACTGTTATAAATCTTAGTGTAAGTTTATGGGAAACCACAGGAGTTCAAGTATTATTGCAAATGCAAACACTATATATATATATTTATATGTATATACAGAGGAAAAGATGGGGTTTTTTGGCAATATTATGGGGGATTTTACAGATTGAGGCTGTACTTGGTGGCTAGCACAGTGAAAAAGCCAAGCACTCTTTTCAGTACTTTTTTTTTTTTAGCAGGTTTGTGCAACAGGTTCTAACCATGACCACCAGCATCCAGCTCCTGCCCTCGGCAGGGTCACCATGACCAGACCTCAGCCCCCCCTCCTTGGCAGCACAGCAAGCACTGCACTCTGCTCCTCAGGGACAGTTTACAGCCCAGTCCAGCCAGTGGTGCAGCACGGCTGGCAGCTGGTCCAACACAGCCGTGCCCAGAGGGGGCGAGGGGCAGGCAGAAGGGCTGCGGCCGTCAGCGGGCTCCTGTTTAAAGTGCTGGTCGAGGCAGACACAGTTTCTCCCTCTGGGGGCTCTGCAGGGATTGCTACTCAGTCCTTAGACCCAAATTAAAACCTAAGAGCAGCCTGTTTTTAAAAACCAAAATACGGCCATATCTTTTCGTACCTTCACTGCCCATTCATGGTATTAGTCGTAATTAGTACGGGACTCTTATTTAGCAATTCACAATGACTAATTTAAAATCATTAAACTTAGTGCCCATATAGCACAGCTTAGTGTCAGTCAGCATGAAAGTCAGAATCTAAGTGCATTATTACACATCAATAAACAGATATACATGCATAAACATGTTTACAATATACTGATCTTCCTCTGAAGAGTACACTGATACCTGATTTCACTTGTGCCACTACTGTGTAAATGGGTAACATTTTCCAGTCCATGCAAAATGATTTCAAGTTAATGGGCCAGATTTCCTCGTTTTGAAAGCAGCATGGGTTCCTTCAGCCCTTCGCTGGACGTTTAGACAGACGACACCAAATTGGACAATCTCCTTTTCAGGGCTCATTGCAGAAACGGGGACACCAGAAGTGACTCCCAGGCGCTGTCCTCTCACTGCAGGCTGCTCCACGTCCAGCCCCACGGCCCCGCTGCTGCAGCTGGCAAAGCCACAGGACCTGGACAGCTCTAAGAACAGCTGGATGTTTTCAGTTCCTGTAGCTTTGGTAGAGGTATTTAGTGTGAAGTCCGACATTCCTCGTTTCGCTCTCTCGGTTGCTGCACCCCAGGCTGCAGGAGGAAGGTGTTCCAGGACTGCCCAGGGCCACCACGTGAGGAGGAGAACTGCAGCTTCAGCTCTGCCTCGTGAGCAGGTCACAGAATCACAGAATGGAGGTGGTTGGAAAGGACCTCTGGAGATCATCTCGTCCCACCCCCTGCTCCAGCAGGTCACCCACAGCAGGGTGCCCAGGAAACATCCAGGCGGGTTTGGAATCTCTCCAGAGAAAGAGACTCCCCAACCTCTCTGGGCAGCCTGCTCCAGGCTCTGCCACCCTCAAAGTCAAGAAGTTCTTCCTCATGTTCAGATGGAACTTCCTGTGTTCTAATTTGTGCCCACTGCCCCTCCTCCTAGAGGTGAGGTCAGCTCACGAGGGCCCTAGAGAAGCCAAAAGCTATTTGGGAGGCAAAGGCGCCGGTCGAGAAGGAAAGTACTGTCCCTGAGGTAAACATTTCTGCTGTGGAGCAGGAGGTCCCTGAGGTGCACACTTCTGCTGCGGAGGTGGCGGTGGCCTACAGGGGGACAGAGAAGCCTTGGTCAGCCCAGGTGACTGCACTCCAAACACACACTCCTCTAACCTGGCACTGCTCCTGTGGCCACTGTGGCAACGCCTCAGCCAGCAATGCTGCTTCTCACAACCCCAGCTGCCACAAGATCCAAGGCTCATTTCGGACACACCATGGCCTGACTCTGCTTCCCACTGCCAGAAATCCTCAGGGAACCCCAGTTTGTTACACTCTGCTATTCCAAAAACAGTTTAAAGCCCCCCCACAGCTTGCCCACCAGCACAAGCTATTCTGAAGTAGTCCCTTCTGACACCTTGCACTTTCTGGATTCCCATGTTTTATGGCATAGACATCACATCTTAGAAACACAATTAAAAAGTAAAATGAAAAATAAAGGAAAACTTTCTGCTCAAATGTGATGAGAAATGATCTTGTGCTGGGCAATAACATTCACCAATCAGAAAAATGACAGATTTCTGAGTAATTTCTTTTTAAAGTGTGTATTTTGAGAGGCATTTCATTCACATGTATGCAGGGCTAATCCAGCCCCAGAAACACATTCTGAAACCTGTTAATCAAAATGTAGCTGTGACAGGGTGTAAAACAAATGCTGTGGGTAATGGCACTTCAGCTCCACAGCGCGAAATGAAAGAGAAACTTCTTTCAATAAAGGTCAGCCCTGCTTGCGTATGGCACGTGATGGAACACCCTAATGCTCACAGGGATGAAGGCAATGACAACATCCATTCATCAGCACAACTGCCAATAACTCCACCAACCTTGTCGGCAGCTTCTGTGCCTGTGGTGCCTGGTAGGGAGGAGATGGGTAGTAAGGCTGGTGGTAAGCCTGCTGGGGATGCTGGTTAACTGGGTATGATGGAACAGGATAGGTGTTTGGTTCCATATCCTGCAAAGAAAACAACAAGAATGTTCACAAATTTGCACTTAGGGAACTGAAATACTTGTTTCATCTGTTAAGTGACATTTAAGACCACTTGCAAACAAGCCTGGAAGTGTCAGAGTTCTACCGAGTATGAGAAACTCAGTAGCAAGAAGCAGCAGCAGTTTGACAAGTACTACATTAAAAAAAAATAAAACCCACTCCACACAGAAAGGCCGATCACAACAAGGGCCTCATTTGCTCTGCAGGTGTGCTTTGGTGAGTTACTGCACTCAGAGAGGTCTGCAGAGGAGTGGGGCTAGGGAGCTGGCAGGGTTTGCTTCCCCCCTTGGCTGGGGTGGGGGGTCCTGTGTAAGGGAAAGGGGTAGCAGAGCAGCTGAAATACTTGTCAAGCCAAGCACAGAGTGTAGAAAAGCCTGAACAGCAGGAAACTGTGGAGTTCCTCCAGCACCCCTTACGAAATAATTCTTCTCTTTGCCTCACAGCAAAGAAAACCCAATTTGAAGAAATGAAAAAATAAAGTAACTTTGGAGCTTATTAGGGCCAAAACCATACAAACTGCCCTCAGCTGTTACTTCAGAGTAACCACTAGGACATGGAGTAGGGAGAAGTGGCCATTCCTACCATGGGAAGAGCTCTGGGAGCATAAGGCATGCCGTGGGAAAAGCCGCGGGGGCGGAAGTCTCTCGGTTCGGGTTCTGTCCTAGGCGGTGGTGGCTGAGGTGACCTGGAAGCCATTGACAGACTGTGAGCAGACAAGGTGGACACTGTGACGAGGCAGCTGTTCAACACAAGCACTCCGAGCTCACCAGATGGGTTTATGCTGGTTTTGCACATGTCAAGAGTCAGGTAGATAATATTTGCCAGAAATCTAATGAACAACATAGCTCTCTTTCTGCTTAGGACTGTGACAGCTCCATGTTGCCACTTATAGCAATCATGGGACCCAAAAATATAAAACCTATCACCAACATGCAACAACAAACATAACAGCAGGGATTGACT